CCACTAGACCACCAGGGATGGTAATAGAATGGTTTGTAAAACCCCTATTCTCCAATATATATATGACATGATATTATATATATCATAATATAATATGTAATGTGTTAAATTATATATTGCTATATAATAATAGTATAATACTGTAAATTAATGTAATATTAACATATTATAAACTTTCTCAGAATTGCCAAATAAAATCGCTATTGCCATCATAGAGTGATGACATAAAACTATTTCTGCCTTACAAAAGCAACTTGAGATAATGACGGCTGACTTTCTTTTCTAAAAACCATAAAACCATTTTAGAACTCCAACTACATTTACTCATTCATTCCTTGAGCAATTATTTATTGAGAGCTTGCTTTGTGTCTGCCACTATATACTGTACTAGGCACTGAGGGGGGGGATACTTTGAAATTGCCATTGGCTTTGTAAAGTTTTCGGGTCATTTCCTGTTCCCAGCAGGAAATAGGTTGCACGCTCAAAGGGGTGAAATAGAGGTACTATTTAATGGAGGTACTATTTACAAAAGTTGTGGGCAGGGTTGAGGTTAAGCAGAAAGGCGCGATGAAGCACCACAAGACTAGCCACAGTCCTATGTCTGAAGGGTCAAGTGGAGACACTAGTTCATGGAACCTAGGGACCTTCAAAGATAGGTGCCTACAGAGCTGTGGACCTAGAGTAGAAGACTTTAGCCATTGCTACACCATAGCCAACAGAGAGGGACCTCTCTTTCCTCTTGCCTTCCAGTCTACTGCCTCTGTTTCCCATTGACTGAACACACCCAGGAACCAGAGGGCTAGAGAGCCCATGGACTATGCCCAGGATAGAAAAGGTGTAGGGGTGGATCTCGATTGGAAAATGAGGAATATCCAGAAAATATCTCTCCTCTCTTTTTTTTCCTTGTTTTATATAACAGATGTTGTGTTTTATTTCTGAATATAAAGTAAAAATATTTTTAATATATAACATTTGGAAAACTGCCTTGTAAGTTGAGATCCTGCTTTTTCCTAGCCAGGACATGCTCTCAGTTAAAGGCATATAAATTTATCCAGTAAGCTCTCACACTCAAAGTGTCCTAAAAAAGAAGTTTATTTCCATGGCTTAGACCTCTTAAAAGTACTCTTGCTTGCCAGAAGACCTACTGATGTTACCCTGGAACATTTTGTCTTTCTGCCAGTCATAAATTTCCTTAGCACAGCATCTTTCTGCATGTATCACACCCTTCAGGTATTAAGTTCCATTCCATATTTTTGCATACTACATTGTTCATCATTATCTCCACTAGACAAATCCTACTTATTATTTAAGGCTACAAAGAAACCTCATTTCCTTCTCAACCTCATTTCCTTCTGAAACACAGCACAACTACTTTATTTCAAAATAAAGAAGAGTTTATCTACACATAGGATTTTAGCATTTAATTATATTCTTTGATTTACTAAATTTACAAATATTTTTGAGCAGCTACTATCTACCAAGTACATATTTAGTATGTGTAAGTTTTTCCTTCCACATTAGACCTAAAATTCTCAAGGGCCAGATTTGCTTTGAGCTTCATTTTTTAAAATAAATTTTTTGTATTTGAGTATAGTTGACACACAATGTGATATTATTTTCAAGTGTACAACACGTGATTCAACTTCTGTATATGTTATGCTCTCTCATTTCAAGTATAGCTACCATCTGTCACCATATAATGCTATTATATCATTGACTATGTTCTCAATGCTGTGCCTTTTAATCCCATAACTTACTCATTCCATAACTGAAATCCTATATCTCCCACTCCCCTTCACCCATTTTGCCCACCACTCCTGCACCCTCCTTCCCTCTGACAACCATTGTTCTCTGTGTTTATAGATCTGATTCTGCTTTTTGTTTGTTTGTTTATTCATTTGTCTTGTTTTTTAGGTTCTACATATGAGTGAAATCATATGGCGTTTGTCTTTCTCAGTCTGACTTATTTCACTTAGCATCATACCCTTCAGGTCTACCCATGTTGTCATAAATGGAAAGATCTCACCCCCTTTTTAATGACTGCATAATATTCCATTGTCTATGTGTACCACATGTTCCTTATCCATTTGTCTATGGGTAGACTCAGTGTTTATTGTAGCATTATTTACAATAGCCAAGATATGAAAGCAACCTAAGTATGCATTGAGCTTCATTTGGATCCTATCATACTTTGTGTTAGTCTGAGAAGGTATAGTTAAGGTCTTTATTTCTACTGGGGAAACTTGATCATTGTCCCTCCCTGCTGAAGATAGCTTAAGATTTCTATTCCAGTTGCAGTGTTTTATCCTATTTTTAAGTGCAATCCTACTGAGCAAAATTGATGTAAGATAAAAAGTAAATTTTGCCTCATAGATTTTTCCTACTAATTTAGTATGTGAAGCCATTTATTAGAGATCACTTTGATGTTCTTATTTTTTTCCCAGACCCACACTCTATTAATTATGATTTTTTGAAATTGACTGCAAATAACATTTGCATGGTGATAGTCCTTTTTCCTTCCTTCCTTCCTTCCTTCCTTCCTTCCTTCCTTCCTTCCTTCCTTCCTTCCTTCCTTCCTTCCTTCCTTCCTTCCTTCCTTCCTTCCTTCCTTCTTGAGAGAGATAGAGAGAGAGCAAGAGTGTGAGTGGCGGCAGAGGGAGAGTGAGAGAATCTCAAGCAGGCTTCACGCTCAGCGTGGAGCCTGATGTGGGGCTTGATCTCATGACCCTGAGACCATGACCTGAGTCAAAATTAACAATTGGACACTTAACTAACTGAGCCATCCAGGTGCCCCACATCTTGATAGTACCGATGCTAAATTTACCTGTTACTTGTGTTTGTACCATGATGTGACATAATGCTGCATGTATTTTATTAACTGTGCAAATTCATTTGGCACTCTCCAAGTAGATATTTAAGAGACCACATAATTTATCATCTAGCTATGGCCTAACACTTAAGTCCTAGCCTGTCACTGTTCTTAGTTTCTTCACCCAAATAAGTAGATATCATTTACCTCACAAAAAGATGGCCCATAAATATATGGCACACTAAGTTTTGTAGAAATAAAATAACTTAAAAAATAAGTTAATATTCTTATGTATTTTATGGGTCCTCATTTTATGTGTATATATAAAATACACATGTAAATATATTATATATAATATATATTATAACATAATATATAATAATATATAATAAAATATATATGAAATCAGTTTTTGGCTTATAAAATAATACATCACAAAAAATTTAGAAAATATGGAAAAGAAAGAAAAACCTCTTATAGAACCCTTACATGATGTCCACTGTTACCATTTACACAGCTTCTTTAGTATTTTTCCATGCTTTTATTTTACAGAATTATAATCATTGGGTATATCTAATTGTGTATCCTGAATGTAAAACTTAAATTTTGAATCTTGCTTTTTAAAAAAAAAAAAAAAACTTAGGAGCATAAACTTTGTTTTTTTCAGATTCTACCTTATAGAAGTCTTCAAGATTGAAGATCTCTATGTGATAAAATACTATTTGTCTATTTTTGTTAGGTGTCAAGGAACCTTTGAGTAAAAGCTCTAAAATTCTGGCTACTCCTGTTTGGTCAGCATTAGAAAAGTTCAATCATTCCTTGGTGTATGCTGAGGAAATGCTTTTCCTGGGCATATTGAATCAAACTCCTGAAAAACCTATGGGATTCTCTCCCCAGAACACTTACAAAGGCGAAGTTTCTCCCTCCCCCACTCTCTTACCCACTCTGTCAGTTCTGCTGCCAACTCCTGCATAATATAGTCAAATTATGTGTTAGAAATTCAACCCTGGTTTCCTGGGTGATGGTACAATGCCACTACTTAGTATTCCTAGTCACATAGCTACAATTCCATCACGCTCTTAATCTATATATATCTTCATGTTCAGAGAAGCAGACTTTTCAAATCAGGCATGTATTAAGAGTTTAAATGTACAGAGTGAGAAAACATAGGAGCTTCTTAAGTTCAGCCATGATGCAGGACATTTTTTTACCAAGATTTTGAGAAACGACCATATGGACTAATGCGTCTTGGATTCAGGGATTTCTATAGGATATCTTTTCCAGTTCAATTCTGCAAACAGAATTCTTTATATTCTCTTGTAGACTACTGGATGCCTAAACTTGAAATTTGGGCCTTTTTTAAAGGCCTGGGTTTTCAAAACGAGATTAGTTTTTCTCTGGAGTTGCACAACCAGGGTGCACCCTTAAATTTTGGTAACGTTATTGAGGTTCTTTATTTCTGAAGTGGCTTCCAATGATCTACACAAAACAAATGTCATGAATTGCAGCATTTCTTCTTCAAAATGGCCAGGTTTGTGTGATTTAGACCAGGGAATTCTAGCTCTTTCTAATTAAAATTTTCTGTGATAAATATTTGCCTATGTGCTTATACATATAAGAGATTTAAACTGATGGTAAAATTGAAATTAGGTTTTTCCGGTGATGTCTATTTTCTGTATTGGTTTGTTTTTCTTTTTCTTTTTTTGACCGTAATATCAAAGACTTGTGTTCCTTAAATTCTAAATCCGCCATGTTTTAACTGTTACCTTGGTCCAGTTATTTTTATGATCATTTGTTCCCTCATTAGGAAAAAAAAAAATGAAAATAATCTCAGAGACTGTTATGGGGATTAAATGAAATATTGTAGGAGAAAGTATAAAGCCCTTCACAAATATGTATTATTTCTATATTCTTAATGATAATGGATTATTTGGGAGCCTAAGTGTTACCCTCTTTTCTTTTCTCTCCTCCTGAGTAACTTTGCACTGATTTCTTGGATTTTTTAATTTAGTGAACCTCTTTTCTCACATATCAGATTGAATGGACTTGGGAAATTGTGATATTTACTTATACATGTACATTGCATACATTCAAATGTTAGTTTGGAGAATACAAAGAAGCCATGTATTTGTATTCAACTAAGGATACTGAGCTCTTTTTTGTGTATGTGTCTCTTTTTTTTCTCCTATAGGTCTTAAAAATTGTCAGCAAAACTGCTGAACAACGGACATCCTAAGAGGAGATATTTTTCACCTCTACAATGAAGAAAAGCAGGAGTGTTATGGCAGTGGCGGCTGATGATGTAAGTTCCAAAAATCAGAGTTGCTTGATTCTACCCGCTTTTTGTCTGCTCAATGAAGAAGTTGCTCCATAATTTTATCCAAAGAGTGGGCAAGGTTTTTTTTTTTTTTTTTTTTAAGATTTTATTTATTTATTTGAGACAGGGAGAATGAGAGAGAGCATGAGAGGGAAGAGGGTCAGAGGGAGAAGCAGACTCCCTGCTGAGCAGGGAGCCCGATGCGGGACTCGATCCCGGGACTCCAGGAGCATGACCTGAGCCGAAGGCAGTTGCTTAACCAACTGAGCCACCCAGGCGCCCCGGCAAGGTTGTTTAACATCATCACTTTATCACTAGTTGTTTCTGTGATCCAGGCATTACCAGCACCTGGACCCAGAATTCTACGAGGTAGACAGCAGGAACACTGCTCTCTCTGCAGCCTTGAGATGGGCTCAGGTTGAGGTTATGGTCTCATTCACAAAACCCCCTTTTCTGATGGATGTCCGCCTTCTAGCTCTTAGAAACTCCTCTTTCTACATGGCCTGCCTTATCAGTTCCCTGATGACTTTCTTCCCTGTCTTTACCCAGGTTCAGCTAATCCTTGAGAGTCACCTCGTACAGTGGGGTCTTTGACAACTGCTTGTAAGAAGCGTGTGATGGGGCGCCTGGGTGGCTCAGTTGGTTAAGTGACTGCCTTCGGTTCAGGTCATGATCCGGGAGTCCCTGGATCGAGTCCCGCATCGGGCTCCCTGCTCGGCAGGGAGTCTGCTTCTCCCTCTGACCCTCCCCCCTCTCATGTGCTCTCTCTCATTCTCTCTCTAATAAATAAATTTTTTAAAAAATCTTAAAAAAAAAAAGAAGCATGTGATATACACATCCTCTAGGTCTTGGCTACTCAAGTGTGATCCTCAGAGTAGCAGCATTAGCATTGCCTAGAAAATGCAGAATCTTAGGCTACATCTTAGACCAAAAAACCAGACTGTATTTTAACAAGATCCCAGAGTGGCTAGATATATGCATTCTTTTAGAAGCCCTGTGCCAGGTCATCTGAAGAAGTCTGTAAACTCACCATCTCATAACTTTGCATCTTGGGCAGCTGAGATTAATTATCTCCTTTGCTTTCAGTTGACCAGTCCCCTATTAGTGTGTCTTTAATTGTCCAGTTTTTACTCAGTTTCTGTTTGTAATTGAGTTAGAAATTATATGCCACCAATCTGATGTGCAGAAGGAAGGGAGGGAGGGAGGAAAAAGTAGTAATTTTCCTTGCTTTCTGTAATAACTCATCTTGTTGTTAAGCTCCTGGTTCAACAGATGGGGAGGGGATGGGAGGAACTTGAACTTGCCAGTTTATGTAAAATTCTGTCTTTGGGTAAATGCTTTATCTTTCAGGATTTCTCCCAGTTCTTACTCCTTCCCTTTAATCACATGGCATTGGGCAAAGGGACTTAACATTAATTAACATTATAGTAATAGATGTGTGGTATTGTCCTTATCTTGTATTGTCCCCTTTCCACTAGCATCTACTGTTGTTCAGTGGAGGAACCACTCATTTCCCCAGGTCTTTTGTTGTCGTCTCTGTCCTTGGTCCAGTGCTGCTTAGGCATGATGTGTATCAGGTGATGTATCAGGTGATGTGTGTATCAGGTGATGATTGCTCTCACTGTGAGCAGTGCACCTTCTGAGTGCACTTAGTGTGAGTTTGACCTGCCCCGTCACTGTCTGGATTCTTCACCTAACCTTTCAGCGGGGGAGCCTGGTTGCTTAAAAGCTTTGCTTTCTGTCTAGCCCTTGCCTTCGGTCTGCTCACCCCACGGACTTCTGGTCCCTTTGCCTCATGTTGAAGCAAATCTCTTAGCAGGCGAGCTGAGGCTAATTCCCAGCTACTTTCTGTGTCCCTGTAGGTGCTTGTGGGAACTTTTTAGAGCGACAAGTCCAGAGGGAGACTTAGGTATAATGTGAGGCTCTCACCCTCCAAAACACATCCCTTTGCCATTGCCATTTCTACTCTTGATTAGTGTTCTAATCTCATCACATGTGACAAGATTTCCTTTCTTTATTTCTCCCTTCTCTGCTCCCTGACCACAAGGGAACTTTCCTTATCTCATATTCTGAATTCTCAGTACCCACTGTAAAAAACGATGTTCATATTTCCGTGCTCTGCTCTGGACATCTAAAGGGAAACTTCTGGAATTTAGAAATCATTTTTCTTAAAAAAAAAAAAAAGCTTAGGACTTTCTCTTAATACTATCTGTATAGTGTGTGTTTCAAGATTCTTTTTTTTTTTTTTTTTTGGAAGAAAAAGCAATGCATTCTATCTATAACAGATGGACAACCGTTCTTTCTTTTTCATTGCATCCTTACCGTAATAACCCCAATCCTCCCTTGAGGCAATTGGTTTCCACAGTCAAAAAACAAAAGAGGGGGGTTGTTGCATACAAAAAAGAATGTGCAAAAAAGAAAAGCACATTCAAAGAATATTAAACCTACCAGGGTGGATAATTGTTACCTAGATTTGTGCTGTCCAACATGGTAGCCACTAGCCTCATGTGCCTCTTAAGCACCTGTCTGAATGGAGATGTGCTCTAAGTGCAAAAATAGATCTTGGATTGTGAATATATAATAGTATAAATAGAAAAGAATGTGAAGTATATCATTAAAAATTTTTAATATAGATTACATTTTGAAATGACAATATTTTGGATATGCTAGTTTAAGTAAAATATACTATTAAAAGTAACTTTACCTGTACCTTAAAATAATGTAACATGTCAACTATATTCAAATTTTTTAAAAAAGTGATTTCACCTGTTTCTTTTTTAGTTTTTTAATGTGGCTATTAGAAAATTTAAAACTTCATTTAGTACATTTGGATCCCATTTGTGGCTTGCACTTTATTTCTAGTGGAGAGTGATGACCTAGAACTTTTGCCAATGCACCTCAACTCTTTGAGTACAGTGTGAAAGCTCATACTTATTGTTACACACAGTATCTCCTCCCTCACAACAAGAGCAACTTAGCAGATTTTACATTTTATATGCCACACTCTGAAGTAAGTCTTCACCCCTAAGTCAGGAGGATTTTATCGTATTTCTATTAATTTTAATTCAGCATTTATTTAGTGATTTAAATATTCACTTAATATTAATTTAGCACTTGTTATCTTCCAAACACTGATTAGGTTCTAGAGAGTCAATAAATAGTGTTCATGTCCCTCTGAAGCTTATATTCCAGAGAGGAGGGGAAAAAATCCATAGATAGATTATAAAAAAATCCTAAGTATGATAAGGGCTGTACAGAAAAATGAAGTTGGTCAGTGGGTAAAGATCGCTTGGATGGTGAGAATAGAGTGTTTATGGAGGGATAATGTGAGGAGATGACATACAGACAGAGAGGACATGGGCAATGAGGGAGTGAGGCCTCTGAAGAGGGAAGAGCATTTCTTTCTTTCTCTTTCTTTCTTTCTTTCCTTCTTTCTTTCTTTCCTTCTTTCTTTCTTTTCTTTCTTTCTTCATTTCTTTCTTTGAGAGAGCATTTCTGGTAAAAGGAACGACATATGCAAAGGCTTTTACCACATGTAAGACACTATGTTTAGCTTTGTCAGAATAAGCAAATGAATAACTGTGACTACTGTGTTTGCATAGTTATTTGCAGTACACAAATACCTTTAATAGGAGACTTAATATGATGAGTGACATAGGAACAGTATACATTAAATACTTTGCATTTGGGAACTAAGTCCCAGAAGTGAGGGACAAATTCAGCGCTATTCAGGTACTAAGCACAAGCAATTAATTACGACTCTAGGAATTACAGAATAATTTACAGAGGTGGGAATTACTGTTTGGGGAGGAGTTGAAAGGGGAAAATGGCTAAAGAGAGTAGGAAAGAAGAACCAGGGAATATGTGTGTGGGTGACACACACACACACATGCACACACACACATACACACACACAGAAAGAGGGAGGGGCTGATTTTATACATAAAATATATTATTTACCTCTGGGCAACTACTCATAATTGATGGTGATTGCCTATGATAAAACTGTGTTTTTCAAAAACAACATTACTTTTGTTATTGTCTCATGGAGCATCGTGACATTTAGTCTTCACAGAGTCCCTAAGTGTCACTTGATGCTTCCCATAATTTCCATTTCCAGTTTTATAAGGTTTGAAAAGCTCTGGCCTATGGTCCAGATTGAATTGTACCCAAGCACACTAGAAGTCCTTGGAAATACCCAATCTCATTTCCTCACCAGGAGTTTAATCAGAATTCAAAAATTGGAGCAAGCTCCAAAAATGACTGGGACAGACTTAACAAAGGGAAAATAAAGCAAGAGCAACACCAACAAAGTCGTAACTACTCAGCCCCTGATACGCCTCAACTGTGCATTTCAGTGGTCCTAAATGAGTCAGTTTTGATACGGGGCTAGGCTGAGTCCCTCTGGCATCCCCTTCCCTTCCTCCCTTCAGACTTTTCCCGTTTAGATGCAGGGTTTCGCACCAGCTTCTCCTTTGTGATAACCTTTTGGAATTATATTGGCAAAAATATCAATTTTTAAACAAACAGTTATCAAGGAGCATGAGGATAATCCCAAATTGGGTCATATCTCTTGGGATTATAGAGATATAGGGTGAATCTGGGGCAGTATGATACATTTTAAAATTCGTGATTTCCAGAAGTAACATTCAAATTAATGTTCCTTTTCCCCAAATCTTTGATCTGGTGAGTGGTGTAGTCAGCCAGAATCATGCTAGTTAAAATAGGAATGTAAGTCTAAGATCTCAAATTCGGTAATTGAGAATTGACTGAATTACGTTGTTCCCTTGAGGATGTTAGCAATTTTTGGGGGGGGGAGTGCTATATAGATTATGAGTATGAATGAGAGAGTTTGAGGTAATTATGAATAACTCTAGATGGGCTAATGAGTGTTTGTGAAACAATATTAATGTTCCCAGTGTTTAACTTAATTTCTAAAAAGCCACTCCATTATGTTCTTTTGTGGTAATACATTTTCAAGGAGTCTTTTAAAATGAATTCTTTTAATTCAAAGAATGACTTCAAATTTGTAAATTCAAGCCTCTTGGCAAGTCAGTGTGGGAGATATTTTTTGGCAGGTGTGACTTTGTTACTTTTCAAATAGCAAATACCAAATAAGCACCCATTTAGTTCATTTACTACAATTAAACCTAGTTGATAATACTTCCTTTTTCTAAAAGGGAAAAATATCCAAAAACCTTATTAAGGAGACTATAGTGGTTGGTGGTTTAACTAAATGATATCCTTATTTCTGTTCTCTGGTACAAAGTCTCTTGCATAGCTCAGGTGAAATATATACTCATGACTTGCTTTCCAGATAACCAGTACTTTCTTTATATGAATATTTGGAAGTAGTCTGACTTACAGTCATGAGTTCTGCTCTTAGTTTGTTTTTGAATCTCTTCAAGAATACTTTGTGTATTCTATTTCATTAACTTGTCTTTATGTCTTTTGAGAAAAAACTTACATATACAAGCTTTCCCCTCAGCTTCTTATTTGTAAAACACACACACACTGACTACACTAAGTGCTAGGCTTACAATGGATTTAAAATAATAGCCAGTTAGTAAATAATGAAACACATTCCAGAATATTTTAAACTTTGGAAAACTACAGATTGTTTTGTCTTCTTGTTATTGAATTGTGGTCCTACTAAATTTCAAATAAATGGTATTCTTGTCAAGGACAAGAAAATGTGATGATATCCCATTTCAGGTAGGAAGAGTGGGGCCCCTGCAAATTGTCAGGCCTATTCATGCCCAAATTTCCTTCATCAAAATGTGGGCTTGTGTCAGATAAGCATAAATCACTAGAATAATGCAATATATGTTAAGAAAAAAAAAAAGAAGAAGAAGAAGGTAGCGGGAGGGGAAGAATGAAGGGGGTAAATCGGAGGGGGAGACAAACCATGAGAGACGATGGACTCTGAAAAACAAACTGAGGGTTCTAGATGGGAGGGGGGTGGGAGGATGGGTTAGCCTGGTGGTGGGTATTGAGGAGGGCACATTCTGCATGGAGCACTGGGTGTTATGCACAATGAATCATGGAACACTTCATCTAAAACTAATGATGTAATGTATGGGGATTAACATAAGAATAAAATAAAATAAAAAAATAGAATTTGTATTAGAATATTGGTTTCTGTGAGCATAGATACTGTGCTTCCTTTTGCTGTTGTATCCTTCTTGAGTAGCACAGTGCAAAACTGTAATAGGTGTTGCACGAACCCACCTAGACCCTGAAACTTGAGTTAATTCTTCTTGTATGAACTAGGACAGGGATGGGTGGAGTGGGAGATAGAGAACTTCTGTTTGTTTAAACCTTTGGAGGTCTATTCCCAGGTTCTCCTAAGTCTTTTCTGAAAGACTAGCAGGAAGGACCTGTCTTTTTAGGGCCACAGAGTGAATTTCAGGTGAGACACCTTGGCCCGGTGATAGGACTTCCATTATTTCATGTTAAGATAAGAGGAGAGAGTGACAGTTCTATCTTTTGAACTCCGCGTTGCTCTCCATGGGTATTTGCTGTGTTACGACATTTTCTGTCTTGGAGCCTGTATGAATGGTACACAGGCAGTACCTCATTTGGGGTTCTCACTCCCAACAGTACCAGGAACCACAGTCACTAAGAGATCTAGGAAAAATGAATAACTCTTACCAGTGGTTATAGTACAATGTCTTTATCTTCTCACAACTATTTCATTCATGTCAGCATTAGGGGATGCACTGAACACATGAAGTTCTGTTCAGGGCTGGATAAAGTATGCTCTTCTTTTTCTGAGCTCTTACATAATTTTACCAAAAAAAAGAAAAGAAAAGAGAGAAAGAGAGAAAGAAAAGAAAGAAAGAAAAAGAAACTTGAGAAGATCTTTTATGGGAACAGAGATAGTCAGTTATCCATAATTATCAACATCTTTCTGTCCTAAGATAGAAAGTATTTTTACTTTAAAACACTAAACAAGAAAGTATATGCCTTAGCTAATGTAGTTTTCCCCCATGTTGCAGAATGATAACATTGATTTCCAAAATATATGTTCAATTACAAGCTTTCATTTTAGCAAGTTTAAAAAAAAACAAAGAGAAAGAAGGGGAAAAAAAGAAAGAAAAATTTACAAAAGAGAAAGAAGATAGGAAGCCCTCTAACCCACATGCTATAACTGGTAACCTGTAACAGGGACCCTAAAAATCACCAAGAATTCCAAAAGTTGAGAATTAGCCACCCCGCCCACTTCTTGTTTTCTCTCAAGGCTTTGCCGTCAATATTAAATTCTGATTGTGAGATCACGAGTCAGGACTTTATGACGGATGACTTGATCATTTGGATTCTTATTTCACTCTACTGTACATCATTTTAAACATTTGAATCTCATTCTCCTTTTCTTCTCTTTTCTTTCCCTGTGGTTCCTCCAGAATGTTAAAGATTATTTGGAGTATAGCTTGAGTAAATCCTACAGTTCTTCTAGTAACACACTTGGGATTGACCTCTGGAGAGGGAGAAGGTGTTGCTCAGGAAACTTACAGTTACCACCACTGTCCCAAAGACAGAGTGAGACAGCAAGGACTCCTGAGGGAGATGGCATTTCCAGACCAACCACACTGCCTTTGAGGACACTTCCCAGCATTGCTATCACAACTGTAAGCCAGGAGTGGTGAGTAGTTTTACAATTAAATGTCAGTTCTAAGTTTTATTTTCTGATTATCCCAACATAATTTCCTGTTACTAAAATGTTTGTTATTTGTGGAATAACTAAGGCTATTGACATTTTGAGAATTTGTTTTCCTTTGGGTAGCAAAAGGAGGCCTTTTACACAGTAGAGATATTTTCAGCCTGTTAAGATTGGAAGGAGCCTATTGAAGGAGGAATGAGATACATTTTTATTAATGTCAAGGGAAAACAAAATTACTGCCTATGATCTGTTTTTTTTTTTTTTTTTAAGTAACTATTCAGTGAGCATCAATATGTTTCCATTTAGAAAAGCACAATCCTATGAGAGTACCTAAAGGAATTATACATGTATATGTGACAGGAGATATTCTTATTGCTCTGCTCTACATATAATTATTCCTAGCTTCTTCTTATTACAATACCACTTTACTAATCTCAGTTTATGATTATGTATGAAATAAAACACTTCGTTATAAGTCAAAAGAGGAATGAAAATTATACTGTGAGGGATGGTTGGACTGTTTTGCAGGGTCTATACTTGTAAAAAGGGGCTATTTTAATCTAGGGTTGAGAATTTAATCAAGAACATATAATTTTATAACTGTGATTAAAATTGTGCCGTGATGCTGCTGCAAATGTTTGTTTTATCATATATTTAATAATCAGCATTTTCTTTTTTCTTTTTTTTCCTCTACGTAATTTTCAAATATTTTCCACGAATGGCCTGCTTACATAACATGGAGTTTTATCATTAAAATGAAAAATATTTTCTCTATATTTATATAATTTTAAATTATAAAACTATGGTACACTTTTTGTTTAAAGCATTTATTAAGGAGAAGGACTAAACATAGTCATTAAAATCTGATTTTATGGGGTGCCTTATACACTTGGTACATGCTGAGCTCTGCAGTGCTGATGAGTAGCCCAATATATACCCATTGAATAATGCAGGGCAATTCTTAGTTGGTGGTTATCAAATCCACTCAGAATTCGATCACTGAGACTCTAGCTATTCTAGTTATTGGCATGAAATGGTTCATCAGACAGTCTGGGTGTGATACAGAAGCATGGTAACACATTGTAGGGAGAATGGGTTAAAAACTTGAGAAGCACTGACTTACCATCTTCGGTTGAGCTGAATTAACATCAGAATAGTCATAGCCAATCACTGAGAACTAAAATGGGCGCATCACTCCCAGATCGCTTACTCAATTGCATAGCTTCTGTAATTAGTCTTGGTTATGCTTCTGCAGAATTGCAGATTTGGAATTGTAAAGAATTCCACAGATTTATTTTTCAGCAAGTTGGCACTGGTACAGTTATACCAGTTGTTACAATACTGAAATGCTTTCATACCAGTTGGTGAATGTATGTTTTCCTGAGTTCTCTGATTGCCCCTTGTACCATCCCAGACTCTTTCCCAGAAGTAAATTGCTCACAGTCCAGCAACTAAAGAGGTGATGACTGGCACAGTGGGGGTCTGGTTTTGGCAGGTGTTGATGATATACTTTTTAGAGTAACAATCTGGATAAAATGTACCTTGCAAATTTTGAGTTTATTTAACTCAAGGACACCTTGAGAGTTGTGGAATTGTCCTCCCCATAGAAGTATCCAATCCCGACTGACATTTGGGACATGCTTGTCTATCTCTCTCAGTTGAGGGTATTAATCTGACAGAGACAGTAATAACACTCACCTCGTAGGCTATTGTGAGGGTTAAATATCGTAATCTCTATAAGGAACCGATCTTAGTAAAAAGCACATGTGAGGTTATCAACAAATGTTAGTTTCTCTCCTCTTGAACATTATCCAGTAAAGCCTTTTGAAAACTAGAAACCGTGTCTCAAGTATCAGTGCCCTCATGCTGGGTGTCCATAGTTCAGATTGAAATGGAGGATTTAGCCATTATCCAGAGAGTTTATGTTGTGCAATTGGTAATACTACACGTTAGTAATTCATTCATAGCATGTCTTTCATTTCAATTACCTGGACACTTTTTAATATAGGAGAGAGTATCAGTCATTGACTCTAAATTTATTTTTAAATATAAGTGACTAAAAGCATTTCTATATGTTCCTTAAAAACGTTGTCACCAGAGTATTGATAGTTGCAGACTGATAGAATCTCTGGCTGAGGAATCTGACTGAAAGACATTTGATTAGAAGTGAGGAAGTAGAGCTCCAACTATCATTATTGCCATCAACTTGATGCAAGTTCACAGATGTAAAGGATACAGCCTATGACCATATGTGAGAAAAAATTATACTGACCACTTAGAGTACTGAGAATATGGAATCAACCTCCACGTCTAAACTGCGGGTGAGCAAACTTTCTGTGAAAGGCCAGATAGTGAATATGTTTGGTTTTGTGGGCTTTGCAGTCTCTGTCCTGACTATTCAACCCTGCTGTGGTAGTGCGAAAGTCACTGTAGATAATGCATAATAAATAAATGTAGCTGTATCCCAGTAGCACTTTATTTACCCATACAGGGAGTGGGCTAGATTTGGCCTGCCAGTCAGTTTGGTGACTCCTGATCTAGACTGAAAAGATCTCCTCTGGGACATGATTCTTGCTCTGATAATTGCTTTGACAGTTACAACTGGGTGAAACTGATCTCGAGTTCCTGGTTAGTGTGGTAAATGAGCCATAGGTATAGGGCTGTGTGCTAGAGATAAAATTTTTAAAGCTAGTGAAGGACTTTGAGTGAGTGCAAATGAAAGGTGGTACCCAGTGTATATAAGGTTAAATAGAAAACCACTAATATAAATTTAGCCCTTGTTTGGGGAGAGCACATGGATGACAGTTTCATCATCCCACAGAAACCCAAATGAACAAACAATGGAGAGATAGTACCTACTTTTCAGAGTTGTGATGAAAATTAAAGGTAATGTGTGTGATGCATAGAACATAGTAACCAGCACTTAGTGGTTGTTTTGATGTTGTTGCCATTATTATTGTTGAGGTTATTGTTATATATAGACCAAGTAGCCAGAATTATGCATTATCTATTGTTGGGGATTCTGGGGGAACTTCACCACCTGAGTTATTGGAACCAACTTGGAAATATGATGAAAAAAAAAGTCAGATATGAAAACAAGGTGTTACATCAATTACTGGTAAAGTTGATGTTGGAATATATAATCTCTGTCTGGGCAAGAAGGCTTCTTAAACTGAACACCAGAATTACACAGACTTACCACCCAGTAGCAGGAGATGCTGGGCCTGGGCAGCCTCCCCTTCAGAGGGAGAACCTAGCCCTGTAAAATGTGTAGCAGGAAAGAGCTGTAGAAATCCTGCTCATCTGAGGAAGTACAGGGGAAGGACTGAGTCGTGCATGCCCACCTTTTCCTTCTGGAAACACCAACACAGATTAAATTATGCCTCCTCCCTGAGGAAGACTGAGTAAGGAGCTAGAAGGAGGCGGGGACTGTTAAACTGGTGGCATTCCTAACACTTGGAAGGCACATCAAAGAATGGGAAAAACATATTCTTCTTTACCATTCCCCCAATTGTTTTCCTCTTCCTCTTAAGTCTGGGGTTCCCCCAAGGATGTGGCTGTTCTTTAGAGGGACAGAGCAGGAGAATATCATTAGGACAGTATGACTGCCATCTTTGTGAGCTTGTTTCTCCAATATCAGTCACTGCTTGAGTATGTAAAGATAATAAATCTGAAACCAAAGTTTCTTGCCCTTGTAAATTAAAGCTCAAGGAAGTTAAGGCCTCAAATTTATTCACCTCACCTTCTTAATTTTCTCATTTTATTAGAGGGTTCTTCGGCCTTTTGTAGGGTGAGGGCTTCCTAACCAGTGTGAGCCTAAGTCATCTTCCACTGTAAGGCTCTAGTTTTCTTTGGTCCCATATAAGTTGAATCAGTCCAGTACCACATCTATGGTGTCTTCGCATTTTAAATAGTTAAAGGAGTTTTTTGATTACCACGTTTATCAAAGCAGAGTCACTACAGCCAGATTTAGGAAATAAGCCAATACTCAGCCTTGAAAGTCGACAGTTAACTTTATAATTTTATCTTATAATTTTAATCTTCCTCCAAGGGGATCTTAGAATACTTTACCTCCTTCCAGCCAGCCCTTCCCTGTTTTACAGTTTGTTTTTATCTATTTTAATTACCTCTTTTTTTTTTTTTTTTACCCCACAGTACACTAGCTTTGCATTTAGTCTTTGATTTATATTTAGATGTTTACCAATATCTTTACTTTTAGTTCCCTTTTGTATCTCAGACCCCCTGGGATCACTTGCTTTTTTGTTTGGGTCAGTTCTCTGGAATTTATGCTCATTTTTTTATTTGGCTGAAAATGTCATTTGCTTTCATTCTTGAAAGCATTTTTTCCCATTGTGTAGCAGTTACTTTATTTCAACACTTTGTAATTATTTTCCCTTGTCTTTTGGCTTCCATTGATTTTGGGAAATTGGCTGTAAATCTAATTGTTTTTCACTATAAGTAATCTGCCCTTTTTTGTTTATTTGTTTCTGAATTTCTGAAGTCCAACTTTGATGTGTCTCTGGGTGGGTTTCCTTTTATTTACCCTATATGGAATTTACTGGACTTCTTGCATATGTAAATTGGTGTCTTTCTTATGATATCTGGAATATACTTTTTCATTTTCTCTTCAAATATTTCCTGTGCCAACCTCTCTCTCCTCTGCTTTTGGACTTCTGATTAAATCTACTTTGGACCTACTTCTTTATTTTCCATTTTTGACAATCTCTTCCATTTTTTAAAAAAATCATTTTGTCTTTCTGGGCTGTATTTTTGTAATTGCTTTGATTTGTCTTCCAGTTTGCTAATTTTCTTTTCAACTATGTCTAATTTTCTGTTAAACCTGTTATATTTTTTCAATTTTTGTTATTGTATTTTTTATTTTTAGAGTGTATTTATTCACTTTTTAAATATGTTAGATAATTTTATGTAGTTTTCTATTCTGTGTATGTGTTAGTTATCTATTGCTGCATAATCAATAACCT